GTCCTGCAGTTACTGGTGCACGTCCTGCAGTTACTGGTGCACGTCCTGCAGTTACTGGTGCACGTCCTGCAGTTACTGGTGCACACCCTGCAGTTACTGGTGCACGTCCTGCAGTTACTGGTGCACGTCCTGCAGTTAGCCCAACCATGCATACTTCAGCGCACGTAAGCAAGTGTACAATGATTAGGTCGTTACAATGAGCTAATTTATTATTAATAAGTCAGCCATTCCCTCAAATGCTCACTCTTCATGACACTAGAAAATTGAAATAATCGAACCGAATAAGTACCAAGAAAACAATTCTTTCTTATAAAAAACACTTGTTACACGCAAGTTTAGTTGAAGAATTTTTTCAATTCGCAATATATGGTATAGAAAATACTTCAAATTCCTAAAAATAAAAACTTTTATTTACTTGATTATTATGAATATATTATTATAATACGATATTTTGATGTTCATCTCTCGATTTAATAACATCATTTTGATGGGTCATATTAATTGTTCAACCCCATCCCTTTTTTCTATTCATCGCAGCAACGCCTGTTAGCTGACACTCTCACTCCAATGCAGTTGTTATAAGTTGTTCAATACTTATGCTCCCTTAAAATGAAATATTATGTCAACAACCATTTTCAACAGCGTCTTTGCTTGCATGACGGGCCTTCAAATCATGTTCATTTTGCCCCTATTTGAATTAAATCCCCAAATAAAAAAGCTAAGAAAAAACTGATCAAAATAAAGTTTTGAAAAGCGGACGTTAGGCTGATTAAGCGTCCAACGCTTTTCAGTGTCCGAAGCCTGCGAACGCAATGAAACTTTGTGGTTCTGGTGACTCTTTTGAGACGCGCTTTTAAGTTGAATCAGAGTCCCGCATTGATTTCGTAAAATCCAATCGCAATTTGCCCAGCAGTGCCGAAAGAACACTAGCCCTGCCATGCTGGTTTCATACTCAAGTTTCGCAAGTTTCAAAGCTGGAATAGTTTCGAATGTAAAACTTTTGCAGGACTGAAAAGTGCACTCCGTATCTAGGACCGAGTCCTTCAATAGTAAGCCTACTTTTCCACGAGGTTTTCGGTCTGATCGAAAGTTTTTTGCAACCAATGGATGACCAACAAGTTCGTCAATTGCTAATTGGGAAGCATACTAACATTTAACGAAATCATTCAGATGTAGATGACTGTACATAAATTAAATTGTGAATAAGTTTTGCCTTTTAAAATGAAAGAATTCATGAAACTCATTGCAAAATGAACACATTTCTTGCTATGGTACTGAAATATAAAACACACATTTTTCAATATATTTGTGATTAGGATTATAATCTGAAAATGTCATTGATGAAAGGCAATTAAATATGCGTTGAAGACTTTCGAGAAAATTGTGCAATTTATGAGAAGACCACCACTCTACAACTTTGACAAAATTATCAAAACTTGTATAACTTATGCAGTGTTTCCCTAAGCTGATTGGTCAAAGGTCAAAAATTTCGACAGACCGATGAAAGTATTATCTTATGATAATGAAACAACTTTTATAGTAACAGAATTATTACAGGCACACTGAGAATATATTAGAAGTCTTCAGGCATATTGAGAATATACTAGAAGTCTTCAAGTCTTCAGGCATATTGAGAATATGCTAGAAGTCTTCAGACATATTGAGAATATACTAGAAGTCTTCAGACATATTGAGAATATACTAGAAGTCTTCAGGCATATTGAGAATATACTAGAAGTCTTCTGGCATATTGAGAATATACTAGAAGTCTTCCCTCTGAATGCCTAAAGAGAAAATCGCAGCGATGTGAACAAGAGAGTTCAGGAGAAGGAAGGACGTGTTACCGCTAAACCGCAGGCACTTATTCGACCGCTGACTTTTCTATTCGAAATTTTAAATAGAATTCACCAACAAGCCTGCAAACTGATTTATGTAGATCAGCTAGAGTTGTATTTTTGGCTGTGGTTACCGTCGCTTTGTCAAATTGCCTGAGTCTGGACTATGGCGGAAGAAGGGCAGAGACGGGACGAATGATTTGCGAACTGTAGTCGGTAGAATCTGATACATGACTGAGAGGCAAAGGCTTGCAAGCCTAACATTGACATACTAATGCCATCACTATAGTTCTAATTTAATTTGAGCATAATACGTAAAAACGTAACAGCGGCCATCTACAGATGTGTACCACTTCTACTCATATTTCTGTGTATTTTCAGGTACCAAAATTCTGGTTCGAATGGTCCACTGCAAAATGCCAGAGGTACCACGAACTAATAGTACCATGTCTCCACCAACTCAATCCTGGTGCCGGTATGGAATAAATACAGTCAACATAGAAAATACATAGAGGTTTGCCTTTAATTGGGAAACCTCTAATAAAATTGTCAGAAGGTTTTCCTTTAACTTCGTAAAATTTCTTACGCTGTGCCGCCTCAACAAGCCATCGCACAACAAATCTGAATATTTGACCTTCTGACCGCTGCAGGGCCTCCATGAACAGAGCTCGGCCGCGACAACAATTTCTTTCCTTGCATTTCCGACACAAACGAGAAAAATGCAGCCACTCCCTCTGGCAGGACGAAAAATGAACCTCGGTGGCGCTGGAGAGGCCGAATGGCCGCCAAAAATCACTTCTTTGCTCTGATAAAGAAAACTGAGGCAGGGGAGAGGGGGTGAATATCACTTGCATGCAGATGCTGGAATTGGGGTAAAAGTGGCACCAGCTATTGGCCTAACACCAGTGGAGCCAGTGGCACGAAGATTTTGCTAGTAAAAATATTCGAAATGCTTCCTAAAATTTACTTTGTTATCACATAGTTAAACTAAAATAGATATTATGTATACATGTGTGAGGAAGTGTTAAAACATGAATAAAATTGTATTCTCCTTGAACAAGTAAATGGTAAAACGGTGTTCTTCGGAGACTAAGCGTATAACAGAATTGTTTTCTAAAATTACTTTTCATAGAATAGGCTCATCATTTGAACCTGATTTACTTACACAATTTATACTGCACCGAAAAAATTGTCCATGCACAACATTCATAACCGATCAGTAAATATAACTTAAAAATATCCTGTCCAGCCCAGCGCCCACTCTCCCCCGTTTTCGTTGTCTGAACACAGAAGTAATTTTTCTTTGTCATTTGTAACCGAGGTTCATTTTTTCTCTCAGGCCCTCGAGAGTGGACGCATTTCTCTCGTTGAGGTCGGAAACGCAATAGGAAAACCTGCAGTCGCGGCCACTCTCAGTCCCTGGCGGTTGTGAGGCAAGGCATCAGCTAACGCCCCGCGCCCGAAGTCTGCGGTACTCCAGAGCCCAGAAGCTTAAGCGAAAAGCTCTTAAATATGCCTGAACGCTCCGAATTCTCGTAAAAATTATGCGTTGTGCAACATGAGCGACTCTCAATATGGCCAAGTGGACGAGGATAGTGGGGGTGAGGGCGGCACGCGATATGAGCTTAATGGCGGGAAACGCAGGTTTCGCTCGTTCGATTTGTTTGCTGAAATGTATTTCTGAAGATTAAATTAATATAATAACTCCATTATTCGTGTCTTTTAGAGCAAGAATTACGTAAATATTGTCTCGAATTTTATGTTCACAATGTAATTCTATAATCAGCAACACGCATGGCATAAATGATTAATATATAAGAGGCCGTCTCTCATGTGTCGATTGCCTAGAGCGGTCCACGGCTACAGCTAACAACGTTTTGTACAGACGTCCATCAACTTTAATTATTTAGATGAATCGTTGAATTTTTTCTATTCCTTTTTTTAAGAACAAAAGAGATTTATCGAGCCAAGCTCAGTACAAAACTTTATAGTGGCATTATATATAAACAACTCACCCGTAGAAAGATGGCCGCGCAGAGTTTGGTTTGGCGCGAGTGTGTCGCTGTAAGCAATTTTGCTGTGAGGAAAAAAATTATTTTATTATAACCCTCAATAGAAAAATTTTAACGCATGGAATGGGTTTTGCTAATTATAGCTCGTCTCATGTCGCAGGGCTTCTATTTAATGCTTCAATTAACGAGTAGTATTATAATTGAATGTAATTTGCCGGCATCAATTTTAATCCCTACTTTCGTACCGCTATGAAAATAAATTCAATAATAGATAGATAAAATAAAAAAACTCTATAAACAAATAGTTTAGCGAACTACAAAATTATTATAAGATATATGAATTTCGTTTTTTTCTGCTCGTGATTTGAAATTTTCACGTATGCGCGACCACTGATCAACGATTCGATATGTTTCTTCATTCACGATTTCAACATTTTCATTAGCCTGGCAAAATTCAGAACCAGCAATTAAACGCGATGATAAACAATATGCCATTCACATGAAGGTTAAACTTCGGGCTTCGACTTTACTAAACAATCGTTAATTTAATAATCATTCGTCACTAGCATTCTACGAGACTACTTAAAGTGCTTGATAATGTCCAACAAATGAAGGTTATGCTGTCAGCATCCAACAATTATCGACATGACTTAAGACCCAGGGAAGGCTCAGGCTCTGGCAGGGCAGAAGAGCACAGCAAGCAACGACCCTACCCCTGCGACCGCCAGCGCGTAACTGACTGCAGGGCCACGGCGGTGCCGGTGCCAGGCCGCGACTCGGCCGGAGTTCAGCACTTGCGGAACTCGTGTCGTTCTTCACATATCGCATCTGCCAGTGAGCATGCCTAGAACTCTAACAAGTATTGAAAAATAATGTGTATTGTCCCATATAATTGAAAAATAATGTGTATTATCCTGACATTTCAATAATAATGTGTAGTGTCGTGGTAAACAGGCATCAAATTTTAGAGTCGCTTACTTTTTATTTGCAGTCAATCCAGATCGCCAACTAGAACTGTGTTGGAAAGCTTCCTGTCGTCTCGCATCAACGCGAAAGACACAGGATACAGGATACAAGAGCTTGCATTGCTGCTGAAATTACCGCAAAAAATTTAACTACTTGGTGGAAGCTGAATGCTCATACCCCATGAAATAATTGTTGCTTTTATTAAATGCTCGAACAATTTTAGCGCATGTTATTGACCACAAACTGAACGAATGATAAGACTTAAGCCTTGGTTTTTTCGTTCCATGCCGAGTCGCCAATTGACTGTAATTTTTTCTTTGGGGACTGACAGCGATCATTACCGGGTGTGGGTGATGGTACAGGGATGATGTGGGTGATGGTACTGGGGTGATGAGGGTGATGGGACTGGGGTGATGTGGGTGATGGTACTGGGGTGATGAGGGTGATGGTACTGGGGATGATGTGGGTGATGGTACTGGGGGTGATGAGGGTGATGGTACTGGGGATGATGTGGGTGATGGTACTGGGGGTGATGAGGGTGATGGTACTGGGGATGATGTGGGTGATGGTACTGGGGGTGATGTGGTGATGGTACTGGGGGTGATGAGGGTGATGGTACTGGGGGTGATGTGGGTGATGGTACTGGGGATGATGTGGGTGATGGTACTGGGGGTGATGAGGGTGATGGTACTGGGGGTGATGTGGGTGATGGTACTGGGGATGATGTGGGTGATGGTACTGGGGGTGATGAGGGTGATGGTACTGGGGGTGATGTGGGTGATGGTACTGGGGGTGATGTGGGTGATGGTACTGGGGGTGATGGGGGTGATGGTACTGGGGGTGATGTGGGTGATGGTACTGACTGACAGCGATCATCACAGGATGTGGGTTAATTTAGTCTGGTCCTCTATCGCTCTTTGGCAGCGTCTTGCTGGCAATTTCGCCGTATTATTATTTCATATTTCATTATCATTTATTTTGCTTTAATACATGAAAAAATACATCGCTCATAATTGAGCAATAAAATCTTTAAGCGTTGTCATGAAATTGCTAATATGAGGCAATAAACCATCATTTAAATGAAATTTTCATAATTTGTCCAATTATTATTTTCTGTCCCATTATCCAGGAAAAATATCAGAATTTCAAATGAGATTCTAACGTATGATGTCCACATGCTTCTTAAAAAGATAATTAAATCTTCGTTCCAGGTCCGTAGACTTATTGCTTCAAGTTTCCCCCTGAAATTATCTTCATTGATAATATTGAGCCAGTGCACGCCTTCCTCAGTGCGATGGAATATAAATGAAGACTTCTATACTCATTTATTGACTTGAAGCCTTCAATAATTACTACCATTATTGACATCACAGCTCAGACTATTTTCAGCACCCTATTCGCTTCTTTATAAATCGCGGTAAACAAATTTTCTCTGACTTCCGATACCGAACAAAATTCTAAATCTAGGAATATATTAAGTACCTTCAAAAACTTCTTGAATTTAAAAGCCTTCAATCATAAAAAGTTCCGCTCGAGTGCCGTAAGAATCTGGTTATCAAATATTGAATGTCAATACTTCATTGGGAATACGAACTCGATATTCAAATGAGCAATTGAAGCAATATAGCTCGCGAACTCCTCGGAGCTGCCTTCAGGACCGTAATTTATGTCACCCGACCCCCATCACCCATCATCACCCGACCTACTTAAACCAACTTTATTTTTAGCGCATTTTCTCATTTATGGAAAAGAGGCGCTATTGTGCTCGTCATGTCCTTCCGTCCGTCCGTCACGGACGGACGACCATGAGAAAATGCGCTCTCCGTCACTCACTTCAGTGAGTACTGATCTAATTTTTTATATTATTTAGGAAAAGAAAAGGAATTTTTTCTGAGAGCCTAATATTTTCATGTGACTTTACTTCCAAATCTGTCTATTGTTTTGCAGTTAGACAGAATTAACACGATTGTTACATAGTTGCCCAGAATGAAAACATTTGCTACTTGTTTAAACAAAATTAAAACTTTTTTTTCTTTATTTCTATGCGGAATTTTAACACGTTTGTTAAATATTTATACAGTAATACCACGCTTAGTTCATAATTCTTCGTAAATTTTATGGTCTTTGTGACTATTACAAGTTGAGTGGAACCATTCATTGGATTTACTGCCCTGTTGTGCTAAACAGGGCAGTATTCAAATTCAAATATTATATTGTTGATACTGCTTATTGCATGTCAATAAGGAAACGTTTAAATATGAGCTATTGATTTCACAGGTCTTAAAATGAGCTCTCAGATATGAGCTCGTAATGTCGCATGTTATCAAGCAAATGTTTAAATGCAAAGCTTCAAAGAGCTGAGGGAATGGCAGGTGGCAGGGCCATTTCACTGGGTAGTTGCCATCAATGGCACCAGTGGATGACGAGGTATTGGCCACTGAACCTCCTGAGGTTGACATCTGGCAACCCGAGATAATCTTCTCTTGCGCCACGTCACATCAAAACTTAACCTTCAAATAATTTTGTCACATTAATGGGATCAAGGGCGGAAGATAGTGGGATCAAGGGCGAAAGATAGTGGGATCAAGGGCGAAAGATAGTGGGATCAAGGGCGAAAGATAATGGGATCAAGGGCAGAAGATAATGGGATCAAGGGCGAAAGATAATGGGATCAAGGGCAGAAGATAATGGGATCAAGGGCAGAAGATAATGGGATCAAGGGCAGAATGATTTTCATGAGAAATTCTGTGCATTAAGGATTGTATTTTTGTTACAGATTCGTTAATAAAACAGCCAACATCAGGCCACCACACACTCGTGAACCTGAGAAAAGTTTTCATGAATCATTTATATTTTAGTTTATGAGGGAATGAAGCTTAATTCAATTCTTAGGAACAAAACCTCACAAGTACCATAAAACGATGTGAACAAATTTTACTACGTTCATCTATTCCTTCGGTGCTCGAAAAATCTGCTCGGTGACAAAACAGTCCCCATGTAATTATAAGTTCCTTTGAGTCTTCAAAAGTCATGATGCTGAAGAGTCCTACTAAGATCACTCGTTAACGTATTCTCAGTGAAGCTTAAAAGCCTTTAAAAGGACGCCGCTCCGTAATGAGAAAGATTAACGAGTCTGCTCGCAGACGGCAAAAATACCAATGAGATTCATGCGGAAGGCTGCCTTGATGAAAGGTAGCATGATAAGTCATCCCTTTTACCAAGTAACTACTTTTTTCCTTAACCAATAACCAAGTAGATATAAAAATTATCTTACACGATAGCTAGAGGTGCAGTTTATCGAATACATTCATATGGGAAACCACTAATAAATGCCTGAACAACTTATATTGTCAGGAATGTTTAAGTTCTTGAACTCACATTGTCAATAATTTCAAAAATGGTTTCTCCTTCAGGCACATAGAGCCCAGATGTGTTTATTGTTAAGGAAAACATTTGTGTGAGATATCTGATTTGTAACACACCGGGTTATGAGATATCGTACTGGTAATCTACTTGCATATCAACCACATTTAGATTTGTGACAAAAAGTGAAACTTACCGGCGAAAAAAATTAAGAGATTTTAAAAATTTTTAAATTTAAGCTCCGCCTATTGGTGCGTCAGATTTTGTGATTTTAGAAGCCTCACCCCATGGGTTTAAATCTGTGAATAAGGATCACAAATATGCATGTATTATTTATGCAATAAGTATCTATTTATTAACTAAAATTCATTATAGGCAAGATGCATCATGTTCCGATGCAAACCAAGTTTCAAGGAAAATATCAAGTCATTGTTATACAAAAAGGCGCAGAAGTCTCAATTCTCGCTTCGAAAGCATGTAAGCGACAGCGATAGCCAATAAGGGAGCGCGGCTGTATCGTCGTGCCATAGAAAATACCAATTAGGATCGAAATGACTTGTTTCACAACCAGATCATGGACTCTTCGGGTGTCCGAGCACGGCTTCGAAGGATCTTCAGGACTCGCGCCCTAAGGCAAGGATACAAGCACAATAAACCTGGCCTCCTATAGCGTGTAGTGCTCTCGTTACTCCTGCAGAGTGTAGGCTCCTGTTACTCCTGCAGAGTGTAGGCTCCTGTTACTCCGGCAGAGTGCTGGCTTCTGTTACTCCTGCAGAGTGCTGGCTCCTGTTACTCCTGCAGAGTGTAGGCTCCTGTTACTCCTGCAGAGTGTAGGCTCCTGTTACTCCTGCAGAGTGTAGGCTCCTGTTACTCCTGTTGCTCCTGCAGAGTACTGGCTCCTGCTACTCCTGCAGAGTGTAGGCTCCTGTTACTCCTGCAGAGTGTAGGCTCCTGTTACTCCGGCAGAGTGCAGGCTCCTGTTACTTGCTGGCTCCTGTTACTCCTGCAGAGTGCAGGCTCCTGTTACTCCTGCAGAGTGCTGGCTCCTGTTACTCCTGCAGAGTGCAGGCTCCTGTTACTTTCTGCAGTTTACCTCAACTAGCTTTACGATATTTTAAACATAGCTTTTAGCTTTAAACCCGTACTTTAAAAGGCAAATTTGGCGAAAGTTGCGAAAATGAGGTAAGTTTTACAGACAACTTTTATTTGCATGGTAAGTGTGCCACTGTATTCCTTGACTGGAAGCCTATCCTAAGGACCAGAAGTTCGCGTTAAAGATCTCCGGGAGAGGTCGTCACTGAATGAAAATGAGAAGCTTTTTTGCACGGTTCTTTGCAGGGCTGTTTGGGCGTAAAAAATCTCGGCCAACTTCCTAACAAAAACACTTTGTTGATCTTGCGCTGTTTCTTAACAATTGAGTGGCTCTTCGTCACTTTTTCGCTGGTTTTTGATAGGAAAATTCTATCGTCTATTACAGTAATTTTATATACATGTCGAATTATCTGCTCTGCACCTGATTTCTTCCTATCGAAATCGCAGTCAAGCACGCTTGAACTGTTGAAATGGGCATCTTAATCGTGTTTTCTTCAATAACGCCAAGAAGAAATAGATTATATCAAAATGTTGCGATGATAGTATAGTATATATGATGAAGAATTAAGTTCTTATTTTTTAAGGCATTTCTAAGTGACAAGCCTATACCGTGAGCTTGTTGGTTTCAACTGGAATTGAATGGTAGGCAAGATACAGAGCATACACTGATATTTTAATGGCAGGAGGCTAGTCAATAATTTGTTAATATCTCCTGTAAACATTCCAATTTTACGCTTATCAGAGCACTTTTTTTATTAATAAAATGTAACGGCTGTACATGCCTGGGGCCATACTTTCAAAACTCGCTAAGTGAACGTAAATACTTACGCTCTATTTTCTTGTCTATGATTGGTGGATTTTGCTTGAAAGGCCGTCTATGATTGGCTGATGAACTTGCGATCTCATAACTTTTTTTGAAAGTATAGGCCCAGGTCTACCGAAGCTAAGTACAAAATAAGACAGAATTTCACTTAAAGCGTGACGAAGTTCCGGTTCGAGTTCACTAACTTCGCACGCAGCGCGACAAAGAACAGAACTTCCCAGGACTTCGGGAGCTTCTCGAGTTTCGTTCAAAACGAAAATATGAGATGGCGGCAAACGAACCACAGAGCGAACTTTTTATTTGTATGCAAAAAGAAACTTTGCTTCACACTATCAGTGCAAATGCTCTGCTTTCGTAAGTAAAGTGTGCATCTTATCCTCACAATGGGAAAATAACGTGGGGGCCAACTTGGATCTCATAACCTTTCCTCTAGAAGGGCTAGATGCCTGCGTTTGTAGAGAACTCTGCTGTAAGGAAATCATTTTATTTAAAGGGAAAATAATTAAATAACTTTCACAACTTGGATCTCATAACCTTTCCTCTTGAAGGGTTAGATGCCTGGGTTTGTAGAGAACTCTGTTGTAAGGAAATCATTTTA